AAGTTGGGGCCAGCAAGATAGGTCAGCAGACAAAAGTACCTGCATAGGCAAGCCACATGCCACGACAACCCCCAGGGTAGGCTGAGCCGGCCATAGAGTCCAGGCGTAGGCCTGTAATACCAGTGCTGCGGAGGCTGAAAACAGAATCACTGAGTCAGAGCTATGTAGTGAGACCCTGTAACAACCAAGTACATTACAAAAGAAAGTTGACAACAAACAGTATCATGTTGTTTTCTCTCTGCTTTGGAAATTCAGTTCTTTATCTGCTGAACACAGCTATTTCCTTTAGATACTAAAAGGACTTAGATTATTTTGTAAAAATGTTGAGCAGCTGGCAAGGTCAGAGTTTCCCTTGTTGTACATAGATGTGTTGACGCACCTCCTAGTACGATTGGTGAGGTAAGAGCTTACCTGTGTAAGGTGGGCCCAGTGCAGTGGTGAGGCTACATTGCTCTGCAGTGAAAGAGAAGTGCCCCTGCCAGTCACTGCAGACACCAAAACAACCAGACTCTCAGGCTGTGAGGACTGTGCCAACCCAAGCGACTCAGCCCTGGTCTCTGATCTTGCACTTCCATTTCAGGTACTTCAAGTGTGGCCTCTAAGTATGAAGAGCTGGAATGCCTCTATGCAGCTGTGGGAAAGGTCATCTATGAGGGTCTCACCAACTATGAGAAAGCCACCAATGCAAATCCTTCCCAGCTCTTTGGTGAGTGTGTGTCTGATATTCTCAGCAGTGGTTCAGTTGGGCACCAGTCCCTGCTCCCTGGACATAGTGTCCTGGGAAAGGCTCAAGTTGTTGGGAGGAACTCTAAGCTGATGACTTATGCAGGAGCCTGTGTTTGGTGCATTGCCCACAAAGCCACCATATGGCCAGTGTGCCACTCCTAGGGGCTTATTTGACCCTATCTCATTGATGTGACTCTGGCTACCCAGGTGAAACAAAAGATAATGAGGGCAGCTGGGTAACTTTTGATTCCAGATACCTGGAATTGAGATGGTTAGATAATCTACTTTTTGTCATTCATGTTTTTAATTAATATTAGACTTTGGGTTACCTTTTTTTCTTTATTACATAGTAATTGTGTAAAACATTGCAAACTAATACGTGTTGCTGTTTTCTCCACCCATGAATAATCCTTGTTAACATTTTGCAGTATGTCATGTTTGAATCCACATGTCTACAGATAGTTGATTGTGTAAATGCTTATGTCTGAATTTACACTCC